GAGTCCTTGGTTCTAGTGTGATTTTTCATTCCTCTCTAATGCTTGAAAAAATTATGGCAAATAATCATCAAGGAAATCTGTCAAAATATAGTGAAGGTAGTTAAGCCAAACCTTTAATCAGGATAGAATACAAAACACCATCTGATTAAAGTATGCCTACATCTATTCGGATAGTCTTCAATGCATCCAATGGATAGTCTTCAATACATCTATTTGAATTGTTTACACTATACTCTAACAAATTATTTTGTTTAAGATTTTCACTCTATGTGAACATAGAGCTGAACATATTGATGCTTAGATAAGGACCCCTCATTGAATCATTATCATACAACAACAAGAAAAAATTTAAAATATATTAACTAGTTTTGTAATCCTTATTCCTATCCAAAAAATACCTTGAACACACACATCTTGGTGAAATCTTTGTTTATTACTTTACCCAAGTTCTTGCTATAATGGTTCAAGCCACCATAACAAGCTATTATGGAAGAGAAACATATCAGAAGGTAGCACACGCCAAGCCCAAGACAGTCCTCAACAGAACAAAAACAATAACAAAGAACATGAACACGAGACAAATAAAATCAAAGAATTCAAACCTCACAGAGTTAATAATATAAGGTCTCTGTTGTACAGTAATAGGTTGTAGTAACAAAGCTACCGTTATTGGTTAATGCTATCTTTAGTTACCTCTACAAAAAGAACACAAGATTCAGCTTAGAAATAAAGAAAAAGCTGCAGATTGTTCAAAATAAAAAAATAATTCAGTTCATATATTATTCAAATTCAGCACTTAAAATTCAAAAATCAACATCAGCCCAAACCAATTTGCAGACTTGCATAACAGTAGCTAGCAAGCAATTGGAACAAAGTCAGTGTACAGCAGCAGTAAACACCAATGTCACAGCAAAAACCAGACCCATAGATGCGGAATGGTACACACCCAGAAGCACACAAGGTTCAGAGCAAGAACAACAATAGTACCATTCATCCAAGAAATCAGAGAAGCAAACAGAGTTTGTTCAAACGCCATTTCAAGGTCAACACAAACAACTCTTCAACAGACCAAACGAAACTCCATAGAATTAATCAAAGAACAAGCATGAAGACATACAAAAAGATGTCCAATGTCCCGAGATGAACAGTGAATACGTAATCACAAGAGATCCTCAAATCGATTGAAAAATCAATTGGATAAGGAATTTACGTTCATACCGTGAAAGGGAGCTCAAAACACCCTGAAATTCAGAGATGTAGCCTTCAAAATTGCTTGGACCAACACGAATTAACCAGAGAGGATCGCAAATGAACAAAATCTGCCATGTGTTGACCTTCGAATATTCAAAATCAAGCTCCAAAAACAGCAAATCGCCGGAGCTTGGTCGCCGTGGACCATGTCAACTCGCCGTGGGTGTCTCGTTGGCCGGCGTTGGTGTGTCTCTGGTTCCCGATTGAAGAACGGCGAGAGAGAAAAGGGGTTGGCGGCGTCTCTATCGAAGAAAGAGTCGCAGGGAGTATTTATGTTATTAGGGTTTTTGTATCCCATAATTTAAAATAATGTGTGTCTGAGTAAAAACACACTTTTTGAGTTAACTTGTTCCGAATTGATATCTATTTGCACCATTGGATTCGATTCGCCGATCCATATCCAAGGATATAACTTTTATTATCATTCGACAAGTATTTACCGGATCTCCTAGTCCGTATTAATCCTTTCGTTTAATTAATACCGATCATTCCTTTAATTTAAACCTTTACAAATAGAGTCAGATTAGTATCGTAATATTGAGACGATTAGAAATTTAGAATTCTCTTAAATATCTTTTAACTAGTATTTTCACCCGTGCCATGCACGGGGTGGAACAATTTTTTGTTTTGTTTTTGTTATTTTCATCGTTTCAACATTTTTCAAATATCAAACAACATAAAACATACGGAGTATATTATTTGCTAATGAAAAGTCTACTATATACATTTAAAAATTAACATTTTAAAGTCTAATTAAAATTAGAATATTTCAAAAAATGTTGAGGTATACAATATTTTTTGTGAAGTTATAAGGGTTATCAAAGACATCTAAAACTAATACTTTCAATTTTATTTTTACTCTCACTCGTGAAATAATAATGTAAAATTAAGAATAAGTGAATCCAACTTGGTAAAAATAATATTATAAGTGTCAGTGTTTGACATTAACTTTTATCTATAATCATAATGAAACATAGGCTATCGAAAATTATATTATTTGAAATTTTAAGAGTAATCCGGTATGAAATGATATACGGAGTATAATTCATTTATGTTATGTAACCATTCTCTTAGACTTTATTTCGTAATGGTTAACCTTGCACTATTATATAATTCAGATGCTTAATCTTGCACTATTATACAATAATGGGTACAACATTCTTCAAATTAAAATTATTTTGTGGCTCACGATTTACAAACATTATATTATCATCATTTGTTACTACTCTAAAAAAAATCATTTGTTACTCAATTATTATACAATCGTCATCAATGGGCAAAATATATGATCCCCACATTGGTTCAGATTATCGAAAAAATTGATTTAACACCTCGTATTGATATGAGTCTCTTCTCTCAAATTAATTTTTAAAAAAATATGATTTCCTTTACTTGGTTTAATTAAAAAACAAAAAAAAATGATCTTATAAATATTCTTCATTTTATTAATTTAAAAAAAATAGATTACCAACTTTATGATTCAAAAAAATATGATCCTTATATTTGTAAAATAAATATTGTTTGTCTCTCGTGCATTATTATGATTATCCTCCCTCGTATTGATTATAAAGAGTTTTTAAATAAAACTAGAATTAGATCTAGCAGATTAGATCTAATCAGATAAGATGCTTTAAGATCAAATCAAATTCAATCAGATCTTATTGCTTACATATTTCATGTGAGCTAATACATCTCAATTTAACATGTTTATATGTTGTTTAGATGATATCTAATGAAAATTAGATCTCATCATATCAGATTAGACTAGCTCAAATTAAAAGAGTTTTAATTAGTATTGCAAAGGCTTGATAACTAACTGTAAGAGAATATCCGACGTCATTCCAATCTCCCAGTTCTTTCCGTCCATAGAACTGCAAGAAAGAAAAGACACAATTGCAAATAGTTTGCTTGTATGAGAAAATATATTTGCAAAAAGGGAAGGGGAAAAATAAATCACGATGTGAATAGACTGAAAATGTTATACTTATCCAACCTAGACACCAAAGAACATCTTGCAGGTACTTGACATCAATGTGGCATCTGCGTTCAGGGTCAATATCACCCGTGCACAGTCCCAATTGAGTTATAGCCTTCTTTATAGCTGCAATTTTCAAACGAAACACAAAACAAAAACCATTTATATCAAAGCTTAATATTTATCTTGTGTTTAAGAAAAAACAAAGAAGATATCAAGATTACCTTCAGGGGAAGATTAGTGAAAAAATCAAGCCAAGCTATAGTCCCTTAAATAGAAAAAAATGTCTAAGATATTACATCTCGTATTCATTTGGTCCATAATATTCTGAGAAAATAGCAACCAGACCTTTGTTGGTTGGATGAATTAAAGCATATTTGTGTATTAAGTTCAAAGGATAAGCCACTTGCAATTATAAACATAATTCATCAAACATTTCACTTCTTGAATATAGTCTTTCTCATGTAGTCCCTCACGTCTTCAGTTGTGATATTAGAAAATAGACCTCGAGAGCATAAAACAATATTAGGAAAAAAATCAGCGAGTATACATGAGAAATTCAAGGAGCTTGAGAACATAAAACAATATGTAACATGACTAAAAGAACATAAAAATACACCTTATCATGAAATTTAGCCCTTCGTTTACTTATTTAAGTATATAAATTTCATTTGGAAATGTTCAAATTCTCAAATGCTTCAAAGCAACAGAGAAGCTTTTCAATTTTGTTGCCAACATTCATCAAAGATGCATGTTATCTTACTAACCTTATAATTCTTCTAAGCATTTAACCATGAATAAGATTAGAACAATGAAACCCTGAGTCTTAACCCTTCTCCTCTTCTCCTTACCCTTCTTTGTTAACCATATGTGTAAAAAAAATTACAATAAAATCTTTACAAACTATTGGTTTGAAATCGCAATTGTAGATTTACCTTTATCCTCTGCATATGCAAACTCAATGAGAATGAGCTTTCTGCTGTTGAGGAGAATTAAAGGGGCCCTTATTACGGAGTATTATTATACAGATACAAAAACCCCAAAATTCGGAATTCAATAAATAGAATGAAGAGAAAAAAATTAAGGATTCGGAGATGACCTGTGCGGCGGATGGGATCTGTAAAGGTGAGATGGCAATGACTTTTTGGAGTGCTATGGGATGCCGCTGCTGGAGTGTTGTGGTGAATGAAGGGCTGTGGCAGATCGGATCAAGGAAGGTGAGCTGGCTTTCTGCAGTTTTGGTTGGAGTTTGCGATGAGAAGTCGATCCGACACGAAAGGAAGAGATGATAAAAGAAAAAAAGAGCACGACACTTCACCAAATAACATCCTACATGGAACAACACGATATCCATTTTTATTTCCGATGACAGAAAAAATACACACTGCCTTCAGCAAACGTACCTCGAAACAAATGAGAATAACTACCTTCTACTGTAGCATGGATATAAAAGACCTAAAACATAAAACAGATGCATTGCCATATGCTAAACCAAAACACATTTTACTTTAACAGAAAAAGAAAGCGTCCAATATTAGAAAGTTTCTACCTCTTCATCAATCACACCATATCGAAGCTATTTATATCTTTGTTGGTCTTCATGTTGTAAACATCCCATAATCGAGAGACACGAACCATAATCATATAAATTCCAGATTCACGTGTCAAACATTTGACAGGGATACATTTTTCAGTATTATTGTTCCTCAATGAAGGAGATTGGGGAGTCGCCATACTTATTTCTATGTATTTGACCACACCGATGCACTATATGCTCACATCAGTTTCTCGGAACAATCCTATATATATACTGAGTATATACAAACAAAGGATTGAAACATCAACCTAGGAAGTCGAAAACCCGAAATACATGATGCAAGTTAATAGCGAGCAAATTAACCAACCTGACAATGATGATGTTACACCATTAATTGTAGGGAGGTGCGACCCCACACATGAAAAAAACAGAAAGTTGAGCGCAGTAAAAACATAAGAAGCTCACGCGCATATCAAAATTGAAAGAGAAGGAGACGATTGAAAATTCAATTATAAGGTGACGATTGAAAATCCAAATATAATTTTTGGAAGGAATTTAGATCAAAATCAGCATCATATAAGCTATGTCACCAGCCACGTCAGTGAATACTTTTTAGCCCCACAACAAAAAAACACTACTTTATATATATACATATGATGATTGTGATACGATAACCTGGCATTCTCTTAGCTATGATGGAACCTCAAGCTCTTGAATTGGGGTGCATAACCTGCATAATAGCATAACCTTTTTCAGATATATTATAATTGGATGTGTGTGTGTCTATATATATACATATACATATACATATACATATATACATATACATATACATATACATACATACATACATATATATATATATATATATATACATATACATATATACATATACATATATACATATACATATACATATATATATGTGTATATATGTGTGTGTGTCTATACATATACATATACATATACATATACATATACATATACATATACATATATATATATATATATATATATATGTATATAAAGAAAGTTGTCATATAAAAAAAACCTACAAAAGCTCTTTTGAAGTTGTCTGGGATCCTGGCAAGGAGAAAGAATTAAAGAATATGAGGGAACATAGCAATCTATATACTATGAGCAAATATATATATATATTTCAGTCTAACCCAGTGAATAATGCCAAAAGTGTAATTCCTTGGACCTCCAAATACATACAACTGGCTATATATAGTTAAAATCCCAATTCACATGGTGATGTAAAAGGACCAATCTAACTAACCACAACTGTGTTTGATTCGTATATTGCTAAAAAAGAGGAACTTTCCACTGATTTAAAACAAAATAAACTATTACAAAATTTTATTGTTGTTAAAACCAATAATGTTTTAAAAAGAACGCAGGCAACTTAAAGAATATGAGGTTGAAATCTAATCTCTAGGGGCCCCTATCAAACCAGCCCAACATTTATCTAATACGACAAAAAATGAAGATAAAGATGTGTTCTTGATATATATATGCAATGGTTTCATACCATACCACACTCCACACAATTGGACATTTTCATTGGTATTATCAGGAGTTACTGGCTTCCCAATTTGAGGCCAAAGTTATGGACAACTGTGTCCTACGAAACCTTTTTTAATCAAAAAGACTAATTGATGCAATTGCAACCCATCTTTTCAGAAGAAAAAAGTTGGGTGGGGGGGGGAGAAAATCAAAGTTTCTCATGAGTTTCTGGTGGAAAAAAGAAAAGGCAAAGAACATAGCAATCATCATGGCTCACAAATAACCAAGGGAAAATGAATATTAATCAAAGTTTCACTTCAAGAGTGTCTGAATAACAGACCAGCAAAACTAACTATTTAATCAAAATGAAAATGATTCAAACACCCAACACAACACTCAGCATCTAGTCTAATCTAGGAGTTAATTAATCAATCAAAAGAAAGCAAAATGGAATTGAGTGAATTGTTTTCGACTGGGAAAAAATTAGGTTGAGATGGGATTACCAAATCACTCCTTGATGCGATCTGTTTGTTGGTGTTTGGAGATGCTCTGGTGAGATCCGGAGGAGCCATTTCCGATCCAGTGGCGTTGACAGATAGTGATAGATTGATGCTCGATTTGGAGGATGTGAATTGAGAATCAATTGGGTTTCTTTAGATTAACGGATAGGCTTCCGGTTGAAGTAGCGGTTTTAACTTTGGCCTTCTGCACACTCAGAATGCCTATGTGGGTGATGACTCAAAAAAAAAAAAAGAAGCCACGTACACTTAAAATAACACGTGGATTGACACATGGCGGCCCAACAATTGATGCACTCTACTTTATATATATATAGTTTTTACCCCGTGCTTCGCACAGGCTCGCATATTTTTCTGTAAAATATATCTAAAAAATTGTTATTATATTAAAATATAAACCTAGATTAAATAAAAAAAATGAATTGCAATTAAAATTGTTCTATGGCATTGCCTATTGATAGAATACATAAATATTAAACACACTTGTATATATGAAGGATAATACATTAATTATTTTTAAATAACTTACATAGACATTTCATTTTTGGAGATATCATGGTATGTGTGGGGAGGATACGTTTATTAATTTCCTCTATGACTCTTATCATTTTACACTTCACTAATCAAATTTATAATTTTGATAGAAAAATTTATTAAAAATATTAAAAGAAAAGTTTGAATTTTTAATACGAATTTTTGACAACTTTTTATACTCTAAAATCTTACTCTTTATAATCTAAACTTTCATATTTATTATACTTATCATGGGAAAATGGTGCAAAAACTTATATAATATTAATTTTTATTAAACTTATATACCATCATTAATTTTTAAAAACTTAAAAATTTAATAAAGTTTTTATAACCTTTAAAAAAGTAATTAATTATAAAATATTAAAATATATTTTAAAATGATGAAGGACATATTAATATCATAATTAGAATATGAAAAGTATATCATAAATACAAGTTTATGGTAATCAAAAGAAATGATCATAAACAATCTTTTAAATAAAAAATAAACTAATAAATGCCATGTGGACCAATAAAATGATACACTATGCCATGTAGATACAAATTTTGCCATGTCATACGCCACATGTTTCCACTACAACTGATGAACTCTCCTTTACATATATACTAATACGTAGTATTCTACCCGTGCGACGCACGGGATCGAATGAAATTTTTTTTGATTCCCAAACTTTTTTAATGTAATACTTTTTTGAAATAAAAAAATATATTTCTCACGTGATTTTTAATACTATAGACAAAAATGCAAAAGTAGAATAAATAGTATTTGAGGAGTTGAATGTGTATTCAAAAAAGTTTTTTTAATACCAAACTTTGTGATAGATTTTAGGATATACAATATTTTTGGAATAGTTGCAAGGATTTTCATTGTCATCTAGAACCAATGTTTGTAATCTTGTCTTTGTCTTCACGAAACAGCAACATAAAGCTGACAATAAATGAAGAAAGAATTAGTTAAAAATGATCCATGGCATTCCTTTATTTTTTTTAGTGTTGTTTAATTTTTAGATTTGTTTCCAATCTCAATGATAAAATAAACAAAGAATTCATATTTACACACTTACCAGAGACACTCTATGGATATGCTGGGATCAAATGGAGGGCCATCTACTGCCATGGTATCGTGTTAACTAACAAAACACATAAAGAGAAAAAAGTAAATGTCAGAAGGAAAATAATCAGGAAGCAATAAAATGTCAAATCTGAAAAAGTGCATAATAAAAATAATCAGGAAGCAATAAAATGTCTAAACTCAAAATAGTTTTGTCACTTTTCTTCACACATGAGAAGTTTTGTTATCATGCTAGTAATATGATTTTTGTATTTAAAATATTTCCTGGTCTTCTAAAATTTAGCTAGACATAGGATGTTTCTAATAGACTCAAATTGACATAAGGCATACCTGTCTTATAACCTCCAGGTTGACATGAGTCCTTGATAGCCATAATATTGTTTATAATGCACAGCATTGATCAAAAGCATTCCTCTTTCAGTCCATCAAACAAAGAATGCACCACAGTTAATTATTATGTAAAGTTTTCATAATTAAGAATTTAGAAGTCCAATATTCTTTGTTCAAGTCATTGAGTGATCATACTATCATTATGAAGGATAAGAAAATTAGCAAGTGTTAGGGAATGTCCTCAAGTGGTTTTAATAAACTGTAAACTCACAGATTCATATATAGGATTTGCTGCACTGAGCATTCAAGGATGTATGCATTCCAGCTGTAGCAATTGTTAAACTCTGGTGCTTCATAACTTCATGTATAGCCATATAATCCCGGTCATTTATCTCATCAACTTCGTCAATACAAACAACACCTCTATTAGCAAGAACCATGGCATCAATCTCTAGTATTCTTTCTCTTGTACTCCCTCCGTCCCAGAGTATTTGTCCACTTTCATTTTTGCACACCATCCAATACACTTCTTTAATCCATTTTATCTTGTAATTTGTATATTAAAAATTATAGAAATTATATATTAATAATCTATATGTTAAGACAAATCAAACAAGATCACACATGATTATATTTAGGCTTACACATTGAGAGAATTTGATGAGTCAAAGTGCTTAGATGAACAGTTCCAAAAGTCAAAACTGGACAAATATAGCGGGACAGAGGTAGTACTAACTAAAAAACAATGTCAAGTTTCAGTAAATATAGCTTTGGAAATAATTTGTCTTCATAGTGAGAGTGTGAATATGGAACTACAAATTGCTCATGTTAACCTCTAACCTATGGCAACACTTCAAAAATCCAATATCACGACAACGTTACCCTCTTCAAACAGCCAATGTAAACACGCAGTCATTCCTCGAGTTCAAGAAAAATATATCTAGAATCTTTTTTATTGAGTAAATTACTCATCAAAACTGAAATTGGAAACCAATGTTCGTTTTCAACAATATGCTCATAAAGAAAATTGCCATCATTTAGTGTTATGTAGACTAAAATGATTATTACTACGTATAAGTTAAAGAAGCTCCCATATATATTCAATTGTTGAGCAGCGGCTTTAGCATCCTTCACTCTAAACATTGTCACAACCACAAGGGTGTAGATTTTGAAATTGCACTCTAATTTAAATAAAAAGTGCATACGAATTTAGAAAAAAAGCAATTTCAATGCTAATTTAGGTAAAATGTTATGGACTGAAACCATTGCAAGGTATGGGTTCCCTCACCTATCAGACTAGTCTTTTGGGTTGAGTTCTTCCGTTTGGTCTGTAACAACTGTTACCGACCAAACGGAAGAACTCAACCCAAAAGACTAGTCTGATAGGTGAGGGAACTCATTTGGCCTATAAACCCCACATCAATTGCCCATACAACCGATGTGTGACAAGTCCCATACCTTGCAATGGTTTTAGTCCATAACATAAAAGTCATATGAATTTAGGAAAAAATGCAATTTCAATAGATTTTTCTAAAATTGCATATGGATTTAGAAAAAAAACAAACCAATTTCTAGCATGTAATTGTATGTTAACTTAGGGGCGAAATTGTATTGAAATGTGGGGAAAATGCAAATTTCGCAGGGGTTAACAATTTAACATGAATTTTGGCATAGAAACATATCAATTTAAAACAAATTGCTTCCAGATCCGCTAGTGTGTATTTCCGATTGAGCAAGAAATACCATACATAAACCCTAAGAATCCAGGAAAATCAAATCAATTAAACCTTACCAATTGACAGTCGATCAAGGATTCGGATGAAGGAAACACAATCTGAATTTTAGAAAGACGTGAGAATAACAGGAAATGAGAAATGAGAGGCGATTCAAAATCTAATGTTCCGTCGATTGACGACTTCAGAGAAAGCATCAAAGTGCGATTATTCAATATGCTACCAAAAAATAACCAAAGGAAAGCAGAAAAGGAGAAGGAAAGCTTCCATTTTCTTATGCTAATTTGTAACGACATTAAAAGGAAAGTAGGTGGCGAAGGAATACTTTTTTTGGTGTTCTTTGATTTTTTCCTTTAACTCCCACTTAAAAATGCCAACTCACGATTATTGGTCTAAAGTTGACACGTCAATTCGCCAAATGTCGTGATACAATTCCGCCAAATGTCGCAATTCTGTAGCTTGGAGTCTGATTTATATATATACTAGTACTAGTATTAGTACTAGTACTAGTATTCCTACCCGTGCAATGCACGGGTTCGGACGAATATCTTGTCGATTCTGAGTTTATTCAATGCAATATTTTTTTCCGGAATAAAGGAAATATACCTCATGCATGATTTATAATAACACAAAAGAAAGGCAAAGTAAAAAGAATAATATTTGAAGAATTGAATCTACACACAACAAAGTTTGCTTTAATACCAAATTTTTTGAAAGATTTCAGGATATACAACATTTTTTGTATGGCTGCAAGGATTTCCATTGTCATCTAAGACTAATATTTTTAATCCTATCTTTGTCTTCACTCGCGAAACAGCAACATAAAGCTGACCATGAGTGAACACTGATTTGGTTAAAAATAATCCAACAAATGACAATGTTTGACCTTGACTTTTGTTTATAGTCATAACAAAATATAAGACTATTGGAAATTGTCTTCTCTGGAACTTTAGAGGTACTCCTGGATCAGACGGAACCAAATTCATCCAGGGTATGTAAACTTTTTCGCCCACTCGATTTCCCGAAACCACAATAGCACCAATAACATTCTTTCGCATCTCGTCAACAATTAATCTTGTACCATTACACAATCCAGATGTTTGGTCAATGTTCCTCAGTAACATAATTGGTACCTTTTTTTTTTAAAACTATCCTGTGGTTTGGGATTCCCGAACATTTGATTTCATTCAAAAATTCAACTGTTATCCAGTCGTCATCAACACCTACATCTGAATCTGCTTGGCATGATGAATCAGAACTCAAGTACACCAGTTCGTCTCCGGGAATGAGGGATAAGACAAATTCATTTACCATTTCTACAACTTCGAGCGTGGGTGCTAGTAGTGCCCTGTCTTCAAAAAAAGAATAACTTCTCATATTCTCCAATAAGTTCGGATAAGTAAAGTCCACTATACTTTTGAGGGGTGAGCTGTTATCTATAATCAAAAATTCGAGAGGAATTTCAACGTCAGCAGTTCCATCAATCACTTGTCCAAGCTTTCCATCTCCAACTTTGATTATCCAATCAGAAAAATCTTGCGTGTCTCTATCTACGCAAGAGGACGTTAATGAATGCAATCTCATATTCTTCGTCAACTTAAAAACTTTACAATAAGACCACAAATTTGAAGAATTAATGGTAGCACTACCTACAATTTCCTCTCTCGAAGCTCTGGGTAAAACCGGAAGAATTTGTCTGAAATCACTTCCGAGTACAACTGTTTTCCCTCCAAATGGTTCATTTATTGAGTTTGGATTAGAGAACTTCATTAGATCTCTCATCGTGCGATCCAATGCCTCAAAAGCAAATCTATTCATCATACATGCTTCATCCCATATGATTAAACTTGCATGTTGAATTAGTTCTGCTTTTGGGCTCCCTTGTTTGATGGCACAAGTTGAGCACTTTGTTAGCGCCAAAGGAATTGAAAATCTGGAGTGTGCCGTCCTTCCCCAAGGCAAAAGCAATGCTGCAATCCCACTGGATGCGACATTCAAGACAATTTTACCACTTGATCTTAGAGAAGCAGACAATGATTTCCAAAAAAATGTTTTTCCAGTTCCACCGCAACCATACACAAAAAAGAATCCTCCTTTTCCAGCAGTCACAACTTCCATTATTTCATCGTATATCTTTCGCTGATCTTCATTCATCGTAGATAAGTATCCCATAAGATCAGATGACAACTTTTCTTTATCATAGTTCAACTCCTCAACCAACAAATTGTTTTGAAATGTATTGAGTGGATTGTCATTGGATGAGGTATTCATAACTGGATCGGACAATAAGACACTTGGGCTGAACCGCATTAAAAGGTTGAATCCAATCGATTAATTAGTTCAATTCAAGAACTTATATACCGATTATTTTACTCTTGGATTTCCGATTTGGGATGTACTCTAACAGTATGTAAAGATGATGGTAATGATTATTGTTATTATTATTATTATTATACAATAATTATATACTTTTTAAAAAAATATTTAAACATCAATCATTAAGTTTTTCCGTTTGTTTTTTCAAGGGATCACAATTTGAGTATCATATTTTATAAATAAATTTCAACAACATATCTTCTTAAATTTTTTTCATGATTTTTTATTTTATTTTAAACATCAATCATTAAGTTTTTCCGTTTGAAATGACTTACTTAAAATTTGATTTATATATGACCTAATATAAATCGCAAGAAGGAAATTAAACTTACAACAATAAGGGTAGAAAATCCAGAGATTTGAACCGAAAAATTCGAAAGAAGAACAAATTTTGCAGAGACTAATCATCATAAGAAGGAAAGAAGGCCAATCATCCCAAAAACAATTATGATTTTTTAAGAAAAGGGAAAGTTACCTATTCTTGGTACCGATCGTTGGAATCTCCGTGAAGAAGGAAAGAGATTAATTCCAATCACATATTCTTTGAAATCTCACGGTGGAGCCATTCGAAGATGAATATCGCAGGGAGGTGCAATCGAAGGAAAGTGCCGCTGATGTCTCGCTTCATTCAGACTTGCGGATGAATTCCACACAGAGTAGCCCTAATAAAAGAAGCCCAAAGTAATGAATCATTATCCAACCCGTTTGAAATATTGAGTAAGTCCAATATAATGACATGGCTTATGAAAAGTCAAAAAAATCCCCGTCAGCATGACAAATGTCAAAATTCTAGGAGTTAAACTCCCAAATACAATATATATAAAGGATATATAAGGAAAGGATATATATATATATATATATATATATATACATATATATATATATATACATACATACATACATATATATATATATATATATATATATATATATATGATATATGACGATATGATTATTTGGTAACTTGATTATATTAATTTCATGGTTTGATATAATTACTATAAAAATTATGGCTAATAGTTCTTAAATGATTTATGATTTAATTTACAAATATTTTATTTTATTATTATTTATTACTAGTATTTCACCCGTGCGTTGCACGGAGAAATGCAAAGTATAGTTTTTTAGATTATTTTTGGATATAATTTTAATTTAAAATTATGTAAATTGTGTGTTACAGCTAACCGATATTCATTATTTAATTGATAACATACTTTATGTGTTAAGTATAATTTTTTTAAGATGTAAGTTAAAGAAAATACATATAAAGAATTTGTGAATATAGTGTTTTGTTAAATAGTTGTGATGCGTAAAAAGTTGTTTGTAAATGAATAATACTCCCTCTGTCCACCATAGATCTTCTCAGACACTATTCACAGGGTCAAACTTTACTCACTTTGTTTGCTCAATTTTACTAGTCATTTCATAAAATAATATAGTCTTATCACCTCTAGTTTTGTAAAACTTTTCATGTAATTTATTACTATATAAATTTTATTTTAAATTTTTACTCCTATAATCAATTAAATTGAATTGAAAATAAAGTCGGTCAAGCCTCTCAACGGGCAATGGGAAGATCATACATGGACGGAGGGAGTAAAATTTAATAATTAATTTTGATGAGTCATTAAATGGAAATAGAAGTATTCATTATGAACTAAATATATTCGTTAAATGCAAAAGTACAATGTACTTAACCAATAAACTTTACAAAATGTAATTAAATGTTTTGGAAAACTTTTTTGTATACAACATTTGTAGTCTTGTAATCAGGCTTATCTGCATCGTTACATATCAAAATCTTCAACCCCGAGCGACTTCTAACCCTTGAAATGGCAACGTACAATTGTCCATGAGTAAAGACTGGTTTTTTTTGAATAAAACGCCAACTTTGGACAGTGATTGCCCTTGACTCTTATTTATGGTCATCGCATATGAAACCATAATAGGGAATTGTTTCCTTTGAAGCTTGAATGGCAACCTTGTATCTGACGGTGTTAATGTAATCCTAGGAAGCAATATGTTTTCACCAGCCTTACTTCCAGTTATAACTCTTCCCTGTAAAACATGATCTCCAAGTCTTGTAACAATTAGTCTTGTTCCGTTACACAAACCATTAGCATGGTCTATATTGCGCATCAGCATTATGGGTGTGCCAACCTTTAATCTAATTTCATGATTCGGACCCTAGAACATTTGATTGTGTTTAAGAATTCAGTAGTATGTATATCACCAACCATAGTATAAGTCAAATCTGATTGGCAAATACTGTCATCACTATAGTACACACGTTCTTCATATTTATTTTTTGACATCATGTATTTGTTGACTGCTTCAAGAACTTCCAACGTTGGTGCAAATATAGCACGTTCCTTAAGTACAATATTATCAAGAAGGCCACCAGTTGAAGGATATATTTCATTAACAATAGCTTGAATTGGGTCATTATTATGTTGGACCAAAAGATCACAAGGAATTTCAATATCAACTATGCCATCGTTAGGACCACCAGCCTTACCATCACCAATACTTGCGATCCAATTGGTAAATTGTTGGAGCTCCAATGAATGATGTATAGAATCATTGGAAAGACGCATATTTTTGGTTAGTTTAAGGACTTTGCAATCGCTCCATAGGTAAGATGAATTAATTGTTGCATGAACTATGTCTTGTCTTGTCCCCTTAGGGACAACAGGTAATATTTGCCTAAAATCTTCACCAAAAACGATTGTTTTGCCACCAAAAGTTTTAAACTTATTCTCTGCATTTATCACACGTAAAATATCCCGTAAACTTATTTTATTTTATTATTATTTATTATAATATTTTTAAGGGTTAAATATATTTTTAGTCCCTTGAAAATAGGTGAGTTTTGTTTTTGGTCCCTGAAATATAAATTTTGT